CATTTTCTTCTCCACGGCAAGAATGTATCGCTTCCCCCAATATAAATTGAGAGTTATTTGTCAGTCTCCCTGTATTGCAACCTTCTAATGGTCCTCGCTTGCTTGGTTGTAATTGAGTTGCATATGTGCAATATATGCATAATCCACTCTTTTCATGGACTGAATTATTTTCAATGCATGTGAGCCATTGAGCTCTTATCCTTTACAGAATGCTGTCCATAGGTGGTGGATCTCCTGGGACACAATTTCTGACTACCAGGAAAAATTCTAATCTCCTAGGAGAAGCATCCATAGATAGATGCTCTGGTCTGCCAAAGATTTCCTGGACTGTCCCAGAGGGAGTTACTTTTTTAATGTAAAGCCTACTCTAGATGGTTTATGTTTGGCAATGCTAAAGCAGAGGTGGTGAAGCGAATACAGAGATGGCTGCCAAACGAGACCTTGTGACAATTTCAAACTGTTAATAAGTAAACTGTGGGCACTGGCACACGAAATATGTCTAAGAAAACGTAGTCTGCTTTTAGAGAGCAAGGCTAGAAGGCCCAAAACTCCTAGAAAAATAACTAAAGCAGATGTCACAGTTTAACTATTGCAGTTATGGGGAGCTCTCCATGTCCCCCCAGCTGTTGCCAGGGGGAAGTGAGCTTCTTGTGATGTTACAAGAAAAGGAATTTTCTGAGACTTGCCCAGGAGGATGAGATTTTGTAGAAAGCTTTAATTCTGTGGAATTAAGCCCTGAATTTTCAAGGTCCCATGTCCCTTTGTCCCACCAAGGAAGCACTCCAGCTGTAGCAGGGCTAGGATTAAAGCCATTGCCCAGAGTTTCTGTCCCATGTTAGGGCACAGTCCAGTCCACCATCAGTCCATTGCATGTGGGGTATTCATGGCCATTGGCCATGGGGCCTCTAGGGTCACATGGCTATGAAGGAACATGGGCAAATGCAAGAGAGCCACAAGAACCAAGAGAGTGAGAATTTCTTTCTCTTGGGATTATGTATCCCCAAATTTTCATGGGCTTGCAGTGGCCCCCACCCCTTCTAGCCAATGATTTCTGCTCCCAGGTTTGANTGGCCATTGGCCATGGGGCCTCTAGGGTCACATGGCTATGAAGGAACATGGGCAAATGCAAGAGAGCCACAAGAACCAAGAGAGTGAGAATTTCTTTCTCTTGGGATTATGTATCCCCAAATTTTCATGGGCTTGCAGTGGCCCCCACCCCTTCTAGCCAATGATTTCTGCTGACAGGCACCTTCCCTATGTCACCCCAACTTTACTGCGTATGTGTCCATCTCCCCTTTGTTGGACCCCCTTCCTCCAGTGATCTGTGGGGAATAAACTAGTGGTTCCCTGGGGAGTCTATAGTTTCAGCTGCCTGGTGAAGCTGCCCAGATGGCTGTGCTTATAATGTCTGCCCTCCCCTTTTTCTCCTTTCCTATTATTAATAACTAGCTAATTACACTGGTATCAGCAGGACTCTAGAGATAGAAGGAAATCTCAGATCTTCAAGCAGAGTTTTTTTTACTGTTGTTGTAGGTAGTGGGAATGGCACCCAGTGGGGTCACAGTGGACCGGGGTTCAGCAACTTCCAAGTCTTGGTAGGGTGGCCATATGTAGTAGGTGACCTCTGGAACCCAGTGGCGTAGTCTCCCTGATCGCCAGAACTGGGTGCTCTAAGAATGTTCCTTGTGCACACTGTATGGCCTTCCTGCTGCAATTGAGTCTTGATTGCTACTGGCCCATTTGTGCAGACTGACTGACAGTGAGGTTCCACCCCCAACACAGTGCTGCTGCCTGTGGGAGCCGGGCCAGCCCTCTTGTGTCTCCCCAATTCCTACCAATCTTGGTGTTGCCTCCCCTTTAAGTCCTTGGTTATAAATTTCTCTCCAACTAGCCTTCAGTTGGTTAAGGATAATTTTTCTATATTTTAGTTTTCTAGTAATTCCAGTTTGGTCCTGGGAGGTCAGTGTAGCTTCCACCATGTTGTATTCCCTGCCATCCATGTATTTTTATAAGAGGAAGCCAGAGGGAGAGTTGATGCAGACAGGAGAGAAGGTGGCCATATGATCACAGAAACAGAGATTGGAGTGAAATGGCCACAAACCAAGTGGGAGCTGGAAAAGGCTAGGAACAGATTCTCCCCTAGACCCTCTGGAGGGAGTACAGCCCTGCTGACACCTTGATTTTGGTCCAGTGGAAATGAATTCAGATGTATAGCTTCCACAACTGTGAGAAAATAAATTTCTGTTGTTTTAAGCCACCAAGTTTGCAGTGATTTGTTATAGTAACCATAAGAAACTAATACACCGGGACATGCCATGATCCCTCTTTATTATTCCGTGGACATTTGCTGGGTTGAATTGTGCGACCCCCAAATTTATGCCCAAGTCCTAACCCCTAATACTTGTGAATATGAACTAGGCCCTGAATCCAATGACTCATGTTCTTATAAGAGAAAAGACAAAGTGATTCGAGACAAATAGACATGGAGGTTGGGGAGGGAAGGCCATGTGAGGACAGAGGCGGAGATTGGAGTTAATGCTGTTTTATAACCAGCAATTTATACAATTTAATCCCTCCCCTTTTTTTACCAATCCCTCCAACCACCCTCCCACCTGGCAGCCATCACAACTGCATGATTAAATTCTGAATAAGTAAGGTTCACAGTGTATTCCTCCCTCACAATGAGGTAGGGATTACTTCATAAAGCTCTGCTAGGGTCATACCAGTATAGCTGGAGCTGGTACCAGGGCCTGCAGGCACAGTGAGATCCAGCAGGCAGAAATCCGTGGTGATTAGGTGGTGAGTGAGTCAAGAGAACCTCTAGAGAAGCATAGGAAATAACTGATGGCTGGATGAGATAGTTGGAACCCAAGGTAGGTAAGTAGAATGTACCTTGTTCTATGCCCCTGATTCCTTGTATCTCAGTTCAAATACCACGTTCCCTATAAACCTTTCCCCATTCCCATAAATGGTGTTCCTCTGTCCAATACCTCAGGTCTTATTACATAGCACTGTAAAGGTCTGTTTGGTGGACTTTCTTCCTTTGTAGCTGCAAAGGCAGGGAGCGGGTTTTGCCCATCTTGGCAGGTGTTTAGAAATTACGCTTCTCTGAAACACCAAAGAAACAAATGGGTGTGGAAAATGATCTCACCTGGGAGTAGGTGGGACAGCCACGCAGAGAGATTTCTCTGGCTGGTCCTTCAGTCAGATGGTGGGCAGGGCCTTGGGAGGAAGAGGTCCAGGTCTCAGTCTCTGTTTAAATGCAGGCAGCTGTCTCCAGGAAAGTTTGCATTGGCGAGGGCTGTCGAGGAACAGTGAGCCAGCCTGAAGGTGCAGTGGATGGGAGGTTTCTGGAGCTGCAGAGATGGGAGTTGAATGCTGGAGAAACCCTCTGCTGCTGTTGGCTGCCCTGGTCCTGGCAGTCAATTCAGGTCACTTGCAAAGGTGGGGAGGCTTCCAGGAGAATTCCACGAGCAAGAAAAATATCAATTCAACGCTCAATTTTTTCATTGAAAACTACAACAATGTGAGCAATGACACCTACTTATTTCGAATAGACAAGCTACTTCAAAGTTATACACAGGTTTGTGCCTCGGTTTCTCTGGATATGGGCAGTGCTCCCATTCTTGCCCACTTTTTATATTGAATTTATTGGGGTGACACTGGTAAACAAAATGACACCGGTTTCAGGTGCATAATTCTATAGCACATCACATCATCTATACACTGTGTCGTGTACTCACCACCCCAAGTCAAGTCTCCTTGCATCACCATTTATTTCCCTACACTGTCCTCCATCTCTTCCTTCTCACCTCCCCCCAGCAATCACCACACTGTTGACAGTTTCTCTGTTTTTGTTTTTTGCTCAATCCCCCCACCCCCCACCCTTTCCCCGACATCTGTCAGCCTGCTCTCTATGAGTCTGTCTCTATTTTGTTTGTTAGTTTATTTTGTTCATTAGATTCCACATATGAGTGAAATCATATGGTACTTGTCTTTCTCTGACTAGCTTATTTCACTTAGCATAGTGCTCTCCAGGTCCACCCATGCTGTCGCAAGGGTAAGATTTCCTTCTTGGGGATATGGTGTGGCTCCCAGAGAGAACCAAACAATAGTGTCGCCAAGTGGAGAGTATCTTTACTTGGAATGGGCAAGCTTTAGAATGATTCAGACCCATTGCCTTAGCCATGCTTCCAAAATGCTAGTCCAAGTACTGGAGTAAACCCCTGAGTCTGTTATGCTTAGTCAGAAGCCAAAATGTTCCCCAAGGTTATCAACTGTCCTCCTTTGGGAAGACTTGCCTCCCTGGTCACCTGAGTTGGGTACTTTAAGTGTGCCCCTTGTGTGGTCTGTGTGTACTGTCCTGTTGTAGTTAAGCCTTGGTTCCTGTTGGCACATCACTGGGAGGGATTGACACCCCCCCCCCCCCC